TGTACTAACTGTTAAATGAGAAACTATTTTGTTCTGTAAGCCTTCATCTAAAGTGAGAATAGCAGCATAATTGGAAGAGTGTAGTCAGTGTCACTGAACTGTGCATGTAGAAAGTTTTGAAATGGTGTATCTTTGGCTATGAATATTTTCACCAAAAAAAAAAAAAGAATGGTCGAGAAGGGAGAGGGTTGACATGTTGTGGGGTTGTTAACCAATGTCATAAAACAATATGTGTAGTACTGTTACATGAGAAACTATTTGTTTTGTAAGCCTTCACCTGAAGTACAATAAAAAAAAAAAATTTAAAAGCCAAAAAAAAAAAAAATTGTCATACCCATGATAATTCTAAACTATGTCTAGTTCTGTTTTATGTTTACTGAGTATAGTATCTAGGATGCTCTTTTGACAAAATATTGATATTTACTATAAAACTTTACCCCTGGTGATCAAGCAGCCTTTTGGATGGTGAAACTTTGATAAGAATTAACAAAAGTGGAGGAGGAAAGGAAAGAGAGGTGTAGCTGGTAGGAAATGGGATGATGGTGTAGGAGCAAGAAGTAACACTAATTCTTGCCACTTTAGTAAGATGAAGGCTTTCTTCCTGAGCCCTTCTTCCCTGTCCTTCTTTCTATTGAAATCTTGGTGAAGGGAAGGCCAACGAAGATCTCAAAGAGCACGAGAGAAAGCACAGGGCGACGGGAGAACACCACCAACCTAGGGGTGAGTTTTCTGGCCCCTGACCTCCTTGGCCTCTGAAGCTGCAGCCCCACTGACTCAGTTTATTCATTTCTACAATAAGGTTTTGACTGCATTATAATAATAACGACCGTACCTAACATTTATTGAACTTTTATTAAGTGTTGTACCTGTACGTTCTCAGTGAATTCTCCCAAAATAGTCTCTGAGGTCAGTTCTGAAGCACAGTGACTTTCCCAGTTCCTAGAGCTAATAAGTAGCAGAGTCAGGGTTTGAACCCAGAAACTTCCACCCTGGAGTTTCTGTGTGGCGCAGTTGGTTGATGAACTTGGCTGCTAACCAGAAGGTTGGAGGTTTGAGTCCATCCAGAGGAGCCCTGGAAAATAGGCTTGGCAGTCTGTTCCAAAAAAATCAGCCACTGAAAACCCTATGACACATAGTTCTACTCTGACACACATGGGGTCACCGTGAGTCGGAGTCAGCTTGGTTTCTTTTCTTTTTGCTTCCACTCTACTGCCACCCTCCAGCTCCAAGCTTCTATGCCACGGGTAGCCAAAAATGTTTAAGAAAGTGTGACTGCCTGGCTCTCTTGGAGGTTGTCAGTGCCTCTGTGTGGGAGCCATTCATAGTGGCTTTTGTCAACCATTTCTCTTAGTCATCTTTTATTTGTGAAAGCTCCAGTAAATGAAATTGGCTTCTGACAGATTTTTAATTGTTGTTAATTGCAGTCAAGTGGATTCCGACTCATGGCAGCCCCATGTGTGTGCAGAGTAGAATTGCTCCATAGGGGTCTCAGGGCTGTGACCTTTCAGAAGCAGATTGCCAGGCCTGTCTTCAGAGGCACCTCTGGGTGGGTTTGAACTGCTGGCCTTTCCACTAGTAGTGGAGCATGTAATGCTTTGTGCCACCCAGGGACTCTGATTTTTCATTAGAGGAGTAGATAAACATTGCCCTGTAGAGCAGTAGCAAGGCTTACATTTGCGGGGCAAACAGAGAAGTAGCCTGTGAGCCAGCCTAGAAGGTGGGGTGACCCAGGAAACATGGATGTTTGGGGCATTAAGGAAGTAAGGAGTGGTTTTCTCGAGTCAAACGCTCCTGGGAGGTCAGAGCAAATGAGAACCAGAAAAGTCCACAAGATTTAACAGAATGCATGTTGCTCTGCCGGTGTCTGAAATCACATCACTCATTTCAGATGGGTTTCAGAGTAGTTGTTCTCTTATCTTGTCCTCAGTTTTGAGGAGTGCACCCTCTTTTGAGCCACTGTGTGCATTTCCCACTCCATGCAGCTCATGTAAAGTCCCTTTTCACTGAACTTAACCACCTGATTGTAAGATTGTTACGTCAGGTAAAAGAATGCATTTATGATGCAGTTGAGTAGCTCAACAGTCTCCCAAATAAACTGTCCAAGGCTTTTCTGGACCTGGATGTTTAACTCAGTGAATAAATCTGCAATTACAATCATGATTTTTGCCTTCTGATATATTTCAGCTGCATCTGAGAGCTGATGCGATTTTCTTAAACTCTTTTTTTATTATTATGAAATATTCTAGTCATGCCTTCTGATGTCTGGCACAGTGAATTAATAGTAGTTTAATCACCCTGGAGATGCTGATGTTTCAGGGAGCTGGCGCTGAGGTAAGGCGCGCATCTCTGTGGGATTGACAAGTAAATGAATCCCCTGCTCACTTAACCTGCTGTTCTTTTCTCTCTCACTGTTTTCTCTCCTAGGAAACAAATGGAAGACTGCTGTGACCCCGCCCATCTTTTTGCTATGACTAAAATGAATTCCCCCATGGGGAAGAGCATGTGGTATGATGGGGAGTTTTTATACTCATTCACCATTGACAATTCAACTTATTCTCTCTTCCCCCAGGTTAGTATAGAGTTTGTTGCCTTTCAATATAATTTCTTATATTTTTTGATATCTCATGGAAAGGGATAATTCAGTTTGCCTTACCAATCTAAACTACTTCTTTTCATCTTCTTCTCTTCTTAATTTTAAACATTTTTATTTATATCTGTCATTTTTTGTGAAGAAATCACATGATGTTTTGATGCAAGAGTGGAAGTAGGATATTGCAGAGTTACAGTTTTTCTAGCCCTTTTGATTTGAGTCATATGAGACTGAGGGAAGCAAACAATGGTCAGGGAATGGTGGAATTCCAGTGTTTTGAGGCTGACTGTGAAATGATCTTGAGAATTTTCTATGTTGGAATGTTTTCTTTGGACTGATGTTGCTCTCAGGGAGAGGGGACCATATGGTCAGAAGTCTGCTTCTTGCCCCTCTTCAACGTTAACCCCGTAATTAGACCACTGCTGTGACGGGGAGGAGTGGTGGATATGGAGGAAGTTTGAAGTGGTCTAAATCAAGCTTTGCTTACTTGGTGTTTTTCCGTCTTGGTTTCCTGAGCACTGAAATCAAATATTGTAAAGTATATCTGGGCAGCAAGTGGGAGAAAAGGAAATCTTTATTCCAGGGAGCCCTAGTTAGGGAGAGGGGGGAATCTTAGGTGAAATTGTCGTTAAAGAGAAAAATGAGAAATGAATCTTGGCCTCTCCAAGCCTTCTAACCGCTCTGGGTTTGGCAAGATGATTATGCTGCAGTGGAATCCAGGGTAGGAGTTACGAAGTGGAACTGAACCATTCATATGTCTGTATTAAGAGCCAAAGAGTCTTTAAAAGAGGGGTCCTAGAAAGCTGAGGCACAAGCTCTGCCAGATCCAAAGTCACACTCTATAAAATAGACTGTATTTGATGACTCATCTTAGTTTTTTAAGTCTAATTTAATGGTTTTAGAGTATAGTGATAATATTTTGAGTTTTAAATAGAAAATAGAAGGCTTAATACATTGCCAGCGTTCATGTGCTTTCTCTTTCTCTTTCATTTGCCCTTGGGAGCCTTCCTAGTCTCAAAAGAAATGTGGGGTTGAATTTGTCTTCATCTTTTACTAACTAATGCCTTAGATAAGTTGTCTAACTCTCCTGAGACTCAGCTTTCTCGTCTGTAAAATGGAGAGAGTAGCCCCTGTCCTAGCCACCTCACAGAACAGTGGTAAGGATCAAATTAGATAATGCATGGCAACGTACTTTGTAAACTACCAAGCATTATGTAAATGTTAGGTTTTAATGTTGTCCGGGTTCATACATCGTATACTCAGACTGAAGAATGAAGAATATAACTGTATTACTCAGGGTTTTTAAGGTAAGGAACTGAAATCATCCTTGGTGTTTTTGGCAGAAAACATATTTCATATAGGGAATTAAAAAATCATTGGAAAGGTGAAGTGGGAATTAAGAGGTAGCTCCTGGAATTATTGAGCTCAAGAACCTCCTATCATCACTGTGGTCTAGGAATCGGGAAGTCCCAGCTGCCATTGCCATTAGCACACTGCTTTGACAGAACCTCCTCCCACAGAACAGGAGCAAAAGATAGGTTCCACCTCGTCTCCTCCTTCCAAATCACCCTCAAGTGCATCTAGTGGGTGAAGATTAATTTGCATCAAGAGCCGTTGCTGGAAATAAGTCCAGGAGAGGTAGTTTTTAACTATCTAGCTTCAGGAGGAAGCTAGGAAGAGTGGAAAAGAGGTTGACCCCCCAACCTACAGTATACCCCACATATAAAAAGTGATTATCAACGATGCAGTAAGCAAGAGATAAAGAAACATTCTCCCTTAACAGCTCATCAAATAGAAAAAAAACTGAAAAGAAATCCAGAATAAGCTTTTTATAGATGAGAGAGTTCAGTCATACCAACCGACTTCTAATTTTATTCTAGAAAATAGATTTGAAGAAAAGAGATGATTAAAGAAATCTAAACTAGCCTCACATCTTATCTGGCAGTTGCAGCAGTAGAATAGTAGGAAACGTTTTCTCTTCAAAGTAGGTACAAATGAATTCTGTGCCTGTTTTGCCCGGTTTCATGACCTAGAAACCATTCTGAAAAATAAAGACAAATGCTTTTTTCTTAGGCACCAGAGTCACTGCATCATTGTGTGTGTGCATCGTCATTACAAAGGGCTGAGCAAATTCAAATAAGTAGATTTTTTTAAAAAGTTGTTTATGTATTTTTCTGTTGAGATTCTGAAATGACTAATTAACTGATAGAAATTCTGGAAAGCCAGTTTGCATCATAAAAAGGATGGTGTATTTTTCTCTCTTCACTCCAGTGTTATTTCTTAGTGAGCGTTTCTAGTTTGTTACCAGGAAGCTAAGATGCCAGTTAATTCACGTTCTCTGGGAAGAACCTAGTGTGTGCAGATGAGGCCGCAATGCAGGTGAGTGGGGTAGGTTTGATGTTGCCAGTAGGAACAACGCACCTCTCCTTTCCCTGAGTTTCAGTAAAATAACGCCAAGTCCCTTACTCCCCAGCTCAGATTATACATCTGTATCTTTAAACTTTTCTCCTAACTGGTCAATATATGTTAACCATCATCATTGTTATTATTCCTTTGTTTACTTTTATCCACTGTTTTTTTTTGTTTGTTTGTTTTTATTTTTTCCAAGATAAAATACAAGAAGAAAGATGCTCTGTGTGTTATGGAATATTAACAGATTCCAGTCAGGGCCGCTTACACCCAGGATAGTACTGTTGAGATGCTGTGAGCTTTGCAGTGCCTCGTTGACTCCCTTTAATTACAATTAGTTGCTGCTTTTTTGGGCCTCCCACAATTTACCATAGCTTTTAAGCCATACTTATTTAATTTTGCTTCATGTTATGGTTATCTACATAACTACATACTACAGTCATCTGCAAGTCCTCATCTCCTTACCACCTTGTGAGCTTTGCAGAGGCAAGTACGGTTCCTTGGCTCCCCATTCGGTGTAGATGTGCATGTCCTGTGCCTCGCGTCTGCCAAGGGGTTCCCTTTCCATGTCCCACTTGGGCTGGACCATGGCAGTGCTCTTGCTTGAACTGTAGGAGATGAAGCAGGATATTTTGAGGCAGCTGTTTCCAAATGGCTCTATAAATATACTATGGTGATATATTTCTTGAATATTAATAGGCACGAAGGATAGCATTAACACTCACATAGGTTGGAGGATGTGCAATGTGTGTGTCTACGTGTGTGTGTGTTTTAGAGGTGACTGTGATGGTAAGTGTTCTCACTTTGCGAATACCACCATCCCTTGGGTTGGGACCAACTTCTTCCTGCTTAGCCAAGGACTGTCCCTTTTTTTTTTTTAAATTGTACTTCAGGTGAAAGCTTACAAAACAAATAGTTTCTCATGAAACAGTACTACACATATTGTTTTATGACATTGGTTAA